ACGTAATTTTTTGGGTAGCTGCGTCATATGATTGGCTCATACTCAGCTTGTGAGTCCCCAAGACACCCAGTTCCTATTTGCATATGCTGCTCTTCCTGATCCTATATTCACGCCTTTGATTTTTCCTATTTATATCCAAATTTGAGATTTGCCCTAGTTGAAATTCAGTTTGCTTCTTTCTGCCTGATGTGTTCCTTCTGATCCTTCAAAATCTTGATATGATCCTCTGTGTTTTGTGGTTTGGTGGTTTTGTTTCTTAAAATGCCAACAACACGGCCTCTAGAATGGACCTCTCCTTTTTGCCTTTTGATTCTTCAGCTTCACACGAAATCCTTGGTACAACACTCATCAGACGCGGTTGTTCAACTTGTTATCTATTCAATGGTGCTCTAGTCCAGCGTGCGTTATTTTTTTTCTGCCAGAATCTTATACTTAATAATCTGTTCCAGAATTTTCTTCTCAGCTGTTGTCATCCCTCCCACTTGAGACAAGAATTTAGCTTTTATTTAGACCAGTGGTTCTCAACCTGTGGGTCGGGACCCCATTTGGGGTCGAATGACCATTTCATGGGGGTCGCCAAACAAGGCTGTCCGCCATTTTTCCCCCTTTTCTTTGGCCAGGCCTCTGGCACCCGGTGATGTAAAAGTGGTTGGGGGTCACCACAACATGGGGAACTGTATTATGGGGTCGCGGCATTAGAAAGGTTGAGAACCACTGATTTAGACGAAGCTGATCTAGGCAACTTGATCCTTAAACCCGGAAGCAAGTAGGAATAGATAGCTACTTGGATCTTGCTTGCATTGTCAAGTTTTGTTTTCCTGCTAACCTAGACTCAGTTGTTCCATGTGTGTTTCCGTATGTAAAGCAGCAGGAGTATATTCTTTGATCATTCAGCAGGTAGGGCATTGCTCACTCATGGAAAGTGATCAGGAAAGTGCAATCTTGATAAATAGTGAGCTCTTAACAGGGCCACATAGTTAGCAAGACCCAGGTAATTCACATCAGTCCCTGCAGCCTACATACTGTAGATTCATATCTTGGATAACAGTACCCAGCTCTCTGGGCCATGAAGTTGATGAAGCTCCAGCAAAATATTTGGAGACTATCCGTTCCTGCAATGCATTTTAGGCCATCAAAAAACTAGCCCATAATGGATCACAAAGTATCTTCTGGCCATCAGCAATCATTCTAATCATGCCTTGAACTTTTCAACCAACCCCTTGGTGCCCAGATCTGTATCTCCGGCTTTTCCCCTCCCCTCTTACTCAGTGAAAAGTTATTTGGGATTCTTAACAGAGCAAATGAAAAGTTTTCCATTAACCAAGGCCAGAGCCAGAGGGACATTGTCTGACTTCAGATGGCCAGTTTGAGGTCTAAGGGTACCTATGGGTTTATTTCTGGATATTATACAGTGACCTTGGGAAGCAAGAGTGCTTATCCAGAGCAAGGTCTGGGTTTGAGTTAAAAATAATAATAATAAAAAAGCAGTTCCCTTGTAGGTTTGAGGATGCAAATTTGGGACACAAAGGGGATGCTTTTTTGGTAATTTCCTACCTCCTTCACATTAAAAAAAAAGGTTTGTTGCCTTTTAACATTGGAATCTGTCATAGACTTTCTGTTCCTTTTTCTTCTGATTTGTCTCACATGCAAATAGGATTTTGATTATTCAGCCTCTTAAGAGTTCCTTCCCTAGTTTGTGGAGTGAATATGACTAAATATCACTGCTTTTGCAGAGGTTTTCAGACTCTTGAGGATTCGTTCTTTTAAAGACATCCTGTTTATTGATGGCAAAAAACCAAAAAGTAGCATATTACTTCTTTCTGTGTTGTATGATAACGGAGTATTTAGAGTTCTACGTTATTACGATAAAGGGTATGAAATTTTTTTTACCTTTGAATGGAAGTTTGTGGGACTTTAGTAATGTGGAAGAATAGTCAAAATTGTGCTGATCATTTTAAAAGGGCTTTTGGACTACTGTATTTTGGATTGCCTATTGGGCCACTTCATTGGGTTGTACAGATCAAGGTTACATTCCCGCACAAATAAATAAGACTTATGGTTTGGGTTTGATGGTTCACAGCGCAGTTTTTTATTTTTTTTAAAGAAAATTTTATTGATTTTCTAATTTTACATTTAAATATTTAAAAAGTAACGTGGCGGCTGATGGTTCAGAGTGCAGTTTTTTTAACATCGTTGTGCTGTTTGCATTCAGAAAACCTGAATCAACTCTTGTTTGCTGCAAGAGAGGTCTTGCGAACTACTTTATGTGTAGTGAAATGCAGATAAAAAGGTTTATGATTTTGAATTCCAATGGAACATGAGCTGAGCTGCATTTCCCGGCTAATGTGCAGGTGTGAACATTTGTTGGTCTTCTTATATATCTCTCTGAAGTTTGCAGATCAACTATAAAACTAAATGTGCTTAATTCTATAATAGAAATACATTTGGAAAATCTTATGTTTTGAGAAGATACACTCAGGACTGTATGTTTAGATGGATTTTTTCCCCTAGCTATTTGTGTAAAATGTAGATTAAAAACAAAACATAGTAGAATGCATGTAAGAATAAATACTCAGTAACACTGTCCAGAAATTTTTCCTATTCATTGGGATGAATCACTCCAGGATCTTGCTCAAAAGCTCAGCAATTATAACTTTCTTGGTTAAATTCAGCATGGAGAAGGAGTTCATACGGCTAATGTGTTGTAACAAAATATGTGGGGCTACTTCAAGATAATCACACCTTAGCTCTGCATATCCAGTCCTATTGGACTGACTCATAGAAGCACACGTGGCTTGTAGAGTGCAATCTATATCCCAGCTCCGAAGCACCCAAGGGGTCCCGTGGCTCCTGAGTAGTTCATAAACTTAGAGATTTAGGTAATTGAACAACAACAACAACAAAATTCCATTTCTTAAGATTTATCCTGGCAGTAAGGGAAAAAACAGTAGTTAATGTGGTAACATACAGGTAATCCTCAACTTAACAACCATTCTTTTAGTAACCATTCAAAGTTACAACGGCACTGTGAAAAAAGTGACTTAAGATCATTTTTCACACTTATGACCATTGCAGCATCCCCAGAGTCACATGATCAAAATTTGGACGCTTGGCAACTGACTCACATTTATGACAGCTGCAGTGTCCCGGGAAGGGAATCATGTGATCCCCTTTTGCGACCTTCTGACAAGCAAAAAACAATGGGGCAGCCAGATTCACTTAACAGCCGTGTGACTAACTTAACAACTGCAGTGATTGACTTAATAGCTGTGGCAAGAAAGGTCGTACAATGGGGCAAAATTCACTTAACAAGTGTCTCGCTTATCAACAGAAGTTCTGGGCTCAGTGGCGGCCCTAAGTCAAGGACTACCTGTATTCCAGAAAAGGATATAGCAAGCAGCCTCTAAGAAAGTAATTTTACTTGATTGTAGAAGGTGTTTGTTTATTTAAAAATCCATCTTTGGAGTAAACAGTTCCTCATGGATCTTTTTAGGCAGTGCAAGAAACTTGCGCTGGGCAAAGAACTGCAACAGATGAAAACAGCCTTTTCCAACCAATGGGGGTTCTACATGAATTAGAAACTACAGCCTGTAGTTTCCCTACTTCTCCTTGGTTGCCTGTGAAATTGGCCCATTTCCTTGCATGGGGAGCCTCATGCTTTTCAGCCCCTATCTTTAGTAATCCTTTCTAGATTATGTTCTGTCTGCAGTGACACAATGGCCACAGCCAGAGGCAAGTCTGATTAGTTCAGTTCCCCCCCCCCTTCTTTTTTCCCTCTCTAGGACAGGGGTAGGCAGCCTTGACTCTTTTGGACTTCAACTCCCAGAATTCCTGAGCCAGCCATCCTGAGGGGAAAGGGAGAGGCTTCCAAGCTGAGCCATGCTGGCTCAGGAATTCTGGGAGTTGAAGTCCACGAGTCATAGAAGAGCCAAGGTTGCCTACCCCTGCTCTAGGTAATTCCATTCAACTTTACTTGTCTACAGATAGTCCTTGACATATAGCTATAACTGAACCCAGAATTACGGTCATAAATTGTGTTTGTTAAGCAAGTCTTCATGTAACCGTGCCCAGTTTTACAACCCTTTTTACACCAACTGTTAAGTGACCCCAGAGGGTCTTTTTTTTTTTTTGCTGGAAATCAAAAAATAAACACTGATCAAAAAAACCCCATTATAAATTATATTCACATGACTGGAATTACTGCAAACAGGTGCAAATGTAGGCCATTTACCAAGCATCCAGATGTGATCAAGTGGGGGGAGGGTTGTAAGTAGCTCTGGGGGAGTCTATTGTAACTTTGAACAGTCACTAAACAACCAATTGTAAGTCAAGGACTTACCTGTAACCTTACTTCCTAAGTTTTCCCGGTCTTCTCCAGAGTGTCAGTTGATGGAAAAGCACGCATGGATTGGTCAATATTTCTGGATCTATGGTGCCACCTGCTGGCTTCTCCTGAACATTGTGAGAAATGGAGGCAAGATTTAGCCTGTTCATTATTTTTCATAAGCTCTGACAAAATGAAGTCCTTTCCCCCAAAGCTGAAGATTGACTTATTGACAGCAATAAAGCAAAGAAGAAATGAGACGTATTGATGGCTGATGGATCCATACTGTTGTCCCACTTTAGATGGAGTACAGTTGAGAGTGGAAAAGGATTCAATTTCCTTTTTTTTCTTTAAAAAGTTGATTATTTGTGACAAATCGTCATCCAAAGTCCCTGAGGGTGGCCTGCCAGAAATGTTTACTCCAGAGCAGGGGTAGGCAACCTTGGCTCTTTTATGATTCGTGGACGTCAACTCCCAGAATTCCTGAGCCAGCCATGCTGAGGGGAAAGGGAGAGGTTTCCAAGCTGAGCCATGCTGGCTCAGGAATTCTGGGAGTTGAAGTCCACGAGTCATAAAAGAGCCCAAGTTGCCTACCCCTGCTCCAGAGGGAATGAAATGTTCTCCTGAGCTGCAGACCTGCCACAAGTTCTTATTGTATCTATTCTTCTGTTTGTAGTGTTGGTGTCCAAATCCTCCCCGAAGAAGCCTCGTGGCCGGAGCATCTTCAAGGCGCTTTTCTGTTGCCTTCGTGCACAGAATGTGGGGCAGACGGCCTTTGGCAACAGTCATGGGCTGCATAAGGAAGAGACGAACACCATTGCCAAGGTGAGGAAGTACGGGTGCAGTGACAGCTGAATCCACCCACCCACCCAGAGGGTTTGCAAACACAGCAAGTGGGCTTGGGAGCTACTTTATCTAGTTCCTTTTCCTTTCTGGATTCTGGCATTCCAGAGGTTAAGTGGGTGCCCACAGGATATAACCCTCTACCTCCTTCCCCAGGCATCAAATATTCAAATTGCTATTCTGTCTGTGAATGTCCTTTCTTGCTATTAATTTTCTCTCTGCCTGTATATCTCTCCTTCTTTTTTGTTGTTGTTACGCAAACAAACCCTTGATCCTGTGCTCCGAAAAACACCAGTGGCTCTTTCTTCTTGTCCCTTTTATGAAGAAAGTATCTGGTTGTATGGAACGCAGTTGCTTTTAGAATTGTTTTGTAAATCAGGGCAGCTTTTCCTAATCCAACACTTTTGTCAGTGTGTAAGGGCTGAAATTCCCAGAATTTGCAACTGGAAATGTTAGAAGCCTGCAATCTCAACACATCTAGAAAACGTGGTTGAGAAAAGACTGTGGTATCTGTACCGGTATCTACAGAAAGTGATATGATATAGAAAGAGGAAGTAAATTGCCCCTAATGAAGATTGCTCTGCTCCTCCATGGGTTGGGAAGCCACAGCTAATCACAATGGGAGAGTGTGACAGTGAAAGACAAACCTGTTTTATCTCGAAATGGACTTCATTCTATTTTCTATCATTGTGTAAGCAGACAAAAAAAAAAACCCTTAAATTTACAGCTGGTGACGTATACCTATCCCTTCTTTAAAACTACATAGCTTAGTTGCCTTGTCTCTGAGCTGTGGATGAATAACCTCTTTAAAAAGAGGACATTAATTTCCACTATTAAAGGAAAAAATTTCATTACGCATAGCAAGGATAGGAAACCTTTATGTGGGCAGGAGCTCTTAAAATCACTTGTCACCTACTCTTCGCTTTTTTAAATTTAGCCTGTGGTTGACTAAGTTAGATACAAACCTAATGTCAAGTAAGAACATCTACTTTTGGAACCATAACACTTAACAGAGATGCAATGCACCTATTTTGCTTGCAATTTCTTTATTTTGTAAAAAAAAAAAAACGCCTGTAAGAGCACGGCTTAATTTCTATCTGTTGCCCTAAATATCTGCTGCATAATTGAGGAGACCAGTGCTGCATTAACAGACTTAAGTCCCCTTTAACTGATAAGCTTGGGTTTCCTATTCCAATGCTTAAGTGTTACGGAGAAGAGTTCCCACCATGCACAATTAAACTGGGTGAGTTGTGTTCTCAGAAAGGGAAAGTTCTCTCTCCTGTTCCTCAATACGTTCTAAAATACACTCTTAAGCTTTTCAAGCATGTTGTGCCTGTAATTTTTCAGAGTTCCTCGGTCACCCTTTTTCTTCATGTGCCATGATTGTTCTGGGTGATAAATATGTATAATAGTGTGCAGAACCAGCCTTTGCAATGCTGTTCCTTGTCAGAGGGAGATAGAAGGCTTTGCTGAAATTCCCTGAAGAATAGTGTCACAGTCTCATCTTTCTCATAATCCTACATCTTTGCTCTCCTCTTTTTTTCCCCCTTTTAGTCTGATCTGTTGCAGTGTCTCCAATACCAGTTTTATCAGGTATGTGTTTGTTCTACAGGCAAGAGAGATCTGTATCTGCTCTCGAGCCAAGTCTTCATTTGCCCTCTGGAAATAAATGGCAGGCCTAGGGAGTTCCCCACTGAGAGAAAATCCCCAGTAAGGGACAGCAAATAGTGGCATTTGGGGGTCCTGCTTACCATGAATCAAGTCTGCTGGTTTAACATTGCCAGTATTTTCAGTGAGACTTAGTTGCAGTTAACTTCAGTTTTGATGTGATAATCAAAATAATGTGTGTGACAGCCAGGAAGGAAAATAAAGTAGTAGATATCCAGCTCTCACTTGATGTTAATAACCTTGCTTCTCTGTGTGTACGTGCTCACATATTTGTATATGTGAACAAGGGAATGTGACCCTACTCTGACTAAGCAAATTTCTGTTCATCTCCTGGGAAACGGGGGGGTCAGGTTCTCTTGCTGTTGAGGGCAAAAATGTCTTGAGAGCAGGAATGTGGCATGGCGTGTAATTCAAACTGTCCTCTGTCAGTTGCTGGTGAGGATTCACAGGACTGACCTTTTCCCATTTGGGATGCAGGAATTTCTTCACTCAGAGTAGAGATTGGACTACCACAAGTGTTTATCCCGAGTAGGAAGCTAATACTCTCAATCCATTCCTGTAACCAGAAATGATAGAATTCAGAAATGGGTTCATCAATAGTTTTGTGTAAATGAAGTCATCAAGATATCTGGGGGATAAATATAGCAGGCTTTATCGTGGCAGTGTTATAATAATAATAGTAAAGTTGGAAGGGACCTTGGGGGTCATCTAGTCCAACCCCCTGCTCGGGCAGGAAACCCTACACCATTTCGGACAAATGGCTTCTTAAAAACTTCCAGTGTTGGAGCATTTACTGCTTCTGGAGGCAGGTTGTTCCAATGTTCTTCCCCCATTCAACAATTTGGAGTTTGGCAGAACATATTCTTGACTCTGCAGACTGCTGCTCCTTTTTTTGGTGTGTATACATACTCTCTTTCCCTACCTTGTAGAGGCGTCCTCCCACATGCCGGCAACATGGATCAACATGCTCCTGGAAAATGTAGCTGTCTGTCAAATAAATAGAGATAGTTTTCCCTGGAGGTTAAAAAAATGCCATAATGAGGAATGGAGGGGCAATGAAGAAAGAAGTTGTTAACCTGTTTGCCTAAAATTTGCAAGTTTCTATATGAACAGAAATGTGGAACAGTATATATTTCTTTCCTAAATTTGTAGCCCAGTTTGGCAGCAAATGATGTTTAGGGCAGGGATCAGCAAATATTAATAAAAGTATAATATATTTATTAAGTATAATAAAATACAGTATAGTCATAAAAATACATTTCAGTGATAAAAACAAGATAGGTAAAATAAATAAAAAATAACCAATTAATACCAGTTGCAGTTTACCGATCAGCTTATGACACACAAGCAGGCTTAATTTTTTTAAAATAAATAAATAAGTGTGCTCTTTGAACTGTAAATGGCAGTGACTACTTTGAAAAGGGATCTAATGTTTGCTGTAGAAAATTTTACTATGTCAACCCAGTATGTAAATTCAAGGCATAATTCACCTGTTCATAACTGGCTTTGACCAAATACTGTGATCTGCTTGTCTGAAAGAATACATAATATAACTCACTTTGCATTTAGAAAGTTTGGACAATGGTACATCCTTAGCCTGAAAATAAAGTCATGGAGGCTTTAACGTAGGCATGGGGTGATGATTGGATGGAGAGATAGATAATAGAAAGATATAGGGAGCCTACAGCCTATAACACTGGAATTATTCTACATTTTTAAAAGCATCTGTATTAATTGTACTCCTGTGATAAAAATAACAGTAAATTAAAAACAGATCTGTTAGTTAATGGGAAGAAAAGTATTTTTTAAGTGCAAGTAATCCTTGACTTAAGACCAGAAAATTTCTTGTTAAGGAATTTGGTCATTAAGCGAGACAACCCCATGACTACAATTTGCAACATTCTCTGGTGGCTTCCCCATTGACCTTGTTTCCGCAAAGCCGGCTGGGAAGGTCTCAAATGGGGATCACATGACCTGGGATGCTGCAACCATCATAAATGCAAGCCACTTGCCTAAATTCTGATCATGTGACCCAAGGCCACTGCAACCATCATTAGTACAAGGGCCAGTTGTTAACATCCCTTTTGTAACACCATCATAATTTCAAAACAGTTGCTAATTGAATGGTCATGGGTCAAGGATACCTGTATCTTTATTGTGGGGGTTAAGGATCTGTGAGGTCTAAAACCTGAGGTGATATGCACATTTTAAATATTAGGGGTTTGGGTTTGGGTTTTTCTGTGGGTTGTTTTTTTGTTTTTTGGGGGGCCATGCTGTTTTTCTCTGCAAACAGAATGGATTAGCTGCTGAAGCAAAAACTTTTCAAGAGGCAAAATATTGCACTTGTTAATGTAACTGCAGGAAGCTTGTTAAACATGCCTCCCAAACAGCATTGTTGTTGTTGTTTTGTAAGCTGCCCATATAAAGCAGACTAGCGTATAACTCTGAAATTATTCTACATTTTTAAAAGCATCTGTAGACTAGGGCAGAAATTTGGATTGCAAAGGAAATGGGATGTGATGCATGAGACAGGGCTCAGGTAATATTTGCAAACAGTTCCTTAAAGCCAGCTGCATCTGTCCCAGGTGCAGGGAGCTTGATGTTGCGAAAAGATCTGTTGGATTGAAAGAGTTGCTGACAGTTGCTATGTTTGTGCACTTTTGCACAGCTGTAAGATAAAGTTTCAAAATTAGACTTGTAGAATTAAAACAGGATACAACCCCTATCGCAAACTGTGGTTCTTGCAGCCAGCAGAAGCTAAGCTCACGTCTCCTTTTTCTAGATTCCTGGAACATGCCTTCTCCCTGAGGTGACTCAACAAGACCAGGGCCGAATATGTGTGGTGATTGACCTGGATGAGACCTTAGTGCACAGTTCCTTCAAGGTGAAACCCTTGAGTAGCTCCCTGATTTCTGTAATATTGCATAATAGATAAACAAGGACAGGAAGACCCAGAGGCCATCCTAGAGCAGGGGGATGAAGGTCTGCTTCAGAGGGACCATCTGATTTAAATTTCCTCCTGTTTGATGGCTTTCAGATATATTGGCCAACATATAGGTAGTCTTTGACTTATGATTGTAATGAAGTCTGCTCATCATGGTCATAAGTCGTAATGGTTGCAAAATGGGTTGGTCACGTGATTGGCCCGTGGTCTGGTTCTATGACCTATTTTGCTGCAGCCATTAAGTAAATTCGTTGCTAAGTAAACCAATGGTTTGCTACAGGCACAGTTTTGACAAAAACGGGAAGTGCCAATTTTCTGCAAAATGATAATAAAATATGGTCATGTAATTGCAGGACACCGCAAACAACTGTGAATTCAGCCATGTTGCTGAACACCCAAAGTTCAGCCATGTGACTGCACGGGAGACGGGACTGGGGGGCTGACTATTGGAACTTTGAATCCTATTCATAAGTAGCTCCAAGGTAGATCCTTTGTAACTTACAAATGGTCACTGAGCAACAGGCTCTATGTTTAGCACAACCTGTATCATACTAAAAGGAGTAGTTGTTCAGCACATCTCTTCATATATGTTCTGCCCTTGAAAGGAGTGATGATCTTATCAAAGAAAATCAAAGTTTACTCCATCACTACATCTCCTCGTAAGCCCCAAGTAGTAGGAGCAATTTTAGAACTTATGAGTTTAGAGTTTCTTAGTGGGGGCACCGTGTTGCTTACTCTAGGTCGGTGTTCCTTAATCTCAGCAATTTAAGATGTCTGAACTTGCAACGCCCAGAATTCCCCAGCCACCATGCTAGCTGGGAAATTCTGGAAGCTAAAGTCCATGCATCTTAAATTCACTGAGCTTAAGGAACACTGAATTATATAATAATAAATTTGTGTTGGGTGGTTCCCATTAACAAATGGGAAGAATCTGCCGGAAGTTAGAATTAGCATGACTAAACAATGCCTGACTCATCAGGAATTTAGGTTTTTGATACACATTGCTTCAGGCATTTAAGATAGATCTTTAAAAAAAAAATGAGGCAAAATGCAGAGTCTTGCAATGGAAATGGAAGCAGAGCCTATTAAATAACATCTTGAAAAAAAAATCCTGGAAAGAAGTCAGGAACTACCTTTAGGCAGAACATTTGAGAAGGGGGTCCTGCCGGGGAGGGGGAGAATAGCCAGGATTTGTTTGCCAAATTAACATGTCTCTTTTAACAAAATTCTCAGCCAATCAACAACGCTGACTTCATTGTGCCGGTTGAGATAGAGGGAACAACTCATGAGGTAAGCTTCTTGCTTTACACCGTTGGAAGTTGGATGGGTTTGGCTCTGTTTCGCTCCTGGCACTAAGTGTGTTCTTAGGCCTCTTCTCTCAAGCCAAGACCACCTGCAAAAGAGAAGAGGAGGAAGGCCTGTGGTGAAGGCCTCAGCCTGGTTCAAGTAATCCAGGATAGGCTGTTACCAGGCAACACGGCCTATTCTTGATTACTTGTTTCAGGAGGCGGCTTCTTGCAACGTAGGAATGAGGTTCTACCATAGTGATCTCCCTGATTGGATGATGCAACAGCAGGAGCTTCCAGAGAGGAAAATTCGCCAGGTGAAGAATGGCAGAGACCACCAAGGACTGTTGGGACTTAATCTACACTTGTTTCAGTTCTCTGCTCCCTAAAATGTCTGAAATAGTAGCTAAATAAGCCTGCAATTGGTTTCTAATAACGTAGCTTACTCCTTGCCTATCAACAAAATAAGGTGTTCTTGCAATGGACTTGGCAGATTTTAAATTGGTGGGCTGTAGCAAAGGCTGGAAATGTAACTTAAAAGATTCTGCAGATCATCATGAACCGGCCAGCTGGTGCAGCTTCTTAATAAGAAGTACACCAAGGAACCACCCACTTTAAAATAAATAAAGGTCCTTAAAACCTTTACGCAACACCATCCAGCAACTTGTCTCCTTGCTCCTTTTGGGGGAATGTCCTTTATAGAGAATATACAGCAGATTATAAAGCAGTAGCTTCAATGCACCTTTCTTGAGAACTTGAGAACATTCTTGAGAACGAACCTTTCTTGATAGCATATCTGCTTGCTTCCAAGAGTAAATATAATCATATGATTCCTGTTCATATTATATATTCCCTCTTCCAAGGAATTTAGGTAGGTGATACTTCCTGCCTTTTTTTTAATCTTTATAGAAAAAAAAAATCCTGTGAGATACCTTAGATTAAGATGTGGTATCTTCTGTTGAGTGTAATAGCTGAGCAGAGACTTGAACCAAGGTCTCCCTGTCCAAGGCTGATACCTCAACCAGTTCTTTCATTAATGACACTGAGGAGGAACAGTATGAGGTTCCATCATAGAGATTTGCCCTTCTTCCCTTCCCTTCTTATTTTATTCGTTAGATTTATATTCCACATTTCTTCCACGAACTTCTCACCTCTAAGATGGTCAGACACTGGATGCCTAAGGCAACCTTCCAAAACATGGTATTTTTCAAGATGCATTGGGAATGCAGTTCCCAGAATTTGAAGGGGGGGGGGCAAGATTTGTTGCAGCTGTTCCAGAACATAGGCTGAGATCACTTATTATGCTTGCAAAGTTAGATTTCCAGTCCTGCTAAAGTTTCCCCCCAACCCCTTCATTCATTTTATTGAGCCAACACAGATCTCTGTAACTGGATGCTTGCCAAATAATAATAATAATGAATAGAGTCTGGAAATGCTGTTATTCTCCCTACGTGACTTGCCCCTGTGTGTCAGACCCTAAGGGATAAAAGAAGCCTGAGTAATGAAGGGAAGAGTATGTGGTGGGATGGATTGTGAAACAAGAATTATGGGTTGGATCCCTGACCAGAGTAAAGACAATATCTACATTTATTGCGGTTTGGAAACTCCTTTATGGACTTTTTGCATGAAACAGAAATAAACTGTACTTAGGATTTATGGATTTGTTGATTAGACAGAATAGATTATAGAAAGAAGAGAGCTATGTTGTAACCTTTAAGGGTAAGAGATAAATTTATAATGAGACTTATAACCACTGTAAAAAAGACTGGACATTATTTCTTTGTATTTTTTTTCTATTTTTCTTTTAGTTTTATTTCCTTTCTTGCGTTTTTGGCTTTTTTTTCTTTGATTTCTTTCTTCTGTTTTTCTCATGTATACTAGTTTGTATTAGTTTTTATCTTCTTTTAAGAAAATGTTTAATAAAAATTATACAAAAAAAAGGATTATGGGTCGGAGAAGCATTCTGCCAACTCTTTTCCATCTACCGCTTCACCCTTAAAATATTTGCCATGCTTTGCATATTTTGGCAACACTGGAATTAAACCTGACCTTCAGCTATGCCAGTTCTAAAGCACTCTGCAGATATAAGCAAGTACTTTGTGTACCATCTCCTCACCTTTCTGTTAATCTCTAGGTGTATGTGTTGAAGCGGCCATTTGTAGATGAATTCCTGAGGCGGATGGGGGAGCTGTTTGAATGTGTGCTCTTCACTGCCAGCTTAGCTAAGGTGAGTAGGTTGCAGAAAGCTTTGCCGGACCTATGGCTTGTCCGATGCTTTCAAAGTTGCTTGGTGCTATAATAAGAAGGAAATTATGACTTAAATTTTGTGAAATTGGTAAGATGTAATTATAGATTTGCAGGGGGGTTAGATTTGCAGAAGGTTCCCAGTTGCAATGTATGGCTGTGAAAGTTGGACCATAAGAAAGGCTGAGCGCAAAAGAATTGAGGCCTTTGAACTATGGTGCTAGAGAAGACTCCTGCGAGTCCCCTGGACTGCAAGGCGATCAAACTGGTCAGTCCTAGAGGAGATCAATCCTGACTGCTCTTTAGAAGGCCAGATCCTGAAGCTGAAACTCAAATACTTTGGCCAACTAATGAGAAGGAAGGACTCACTGGAGAAAAGCGTAATGCTGGGAAAGATTGAGGGCAATAGAAGAAGGGGACAACAGAGAATGAGGTGGCTGGATGGAGTCACTGAAGCAGTAAGCGTGAGCTTAAATGGATTCCAGAAGATGGTAGAGGACAGGAAGACCTGGAGGAACGTTGTCCATGGGGTCGTGATGGGTCGGACATGACTTCGCAACTAGCAACAACAACAAGGGGGTTTAAATCCTTATAACTGAGCGCAGAAGGTGTGTGTGTGTGTGTGTGTGTGTTGTATGTATGTGTATATATGTGTGTGTATATATATACATAAACACACATATATACGCTGTCAAGGTTACAATCAACAGAGACAAATAAAGCAGAACTCTGAGGCTTACATATTCCTCAAAGAACATGTTTATTGATTACAAAGTATCAGAACTTCAAAAGTGAAACCAAGTCTGAAGAGATGCATAACAATTCCCTAATACAAAGCAACTACATTTCCCCACTCAGCTTGTTGGCGGGCTTTTCATGAAACGCCCAGCCTGCAGTCTCAGGAGCAGCCGATGACCTTGGTTCCCATGAGAGAAAGTCCGAGAGAGAAAGTCTGTTTTGTCTAGCGCAACACCTGGCAACCCCCCTCCCTCTTCTTGCTATGTGGCAGCTAGGAATGAGAAGGAAAAAGATGGCTGCAACCATGCTCATTCTAAAGTTGACATACACATACATATGGCAGCCTTGTTGAAGTGGGTGTTTTATAGATACGGTTATTTTAATCACCCAAATTTCTATTTAACATGCCAAAAGTAGTTCCTAGTGTTGAAGTCCAACATGTTTGAAGAGTGAGGGCACAGGAAGGATTGGTGTCCTCACTGAGGCATTACCCCCCAAAAATGCGATCTAGTGGTTAAGGCACCAGGCTACAAATCAGGAGATTGGGAGTTCTAGTTCCACCTTAAGCATGAAAGCTGGCTAGGTGACTTTGGGCCAGTTACTTTCTCTCAGCCCAGCCCACCTCACTTAGGTGGGGAAAATAGGAGGAAAAGGAGCATTAGCTATGTTGACCACTTTGAGTGATCTATAAAAACAGGAGATGGGAGAGAGGGAGAAAGATAGCCAATCCCACAAAACTTCATTTAAAAAATATCAATGCCAAGTAACACATTTTGCTTTTATGGGACCTAGTTGCAGAGGCATAGTGTTCAGATCATCCTGACGGTAATTGTTTTGTTTCTGGGCCAAAAGCAGACTCCTCATCTCTTTTGCTCTCCTTTTGGCCAGTATGCTGACCCAGTGACTGACCTTCTGGACAAGTGTGGAGTCTTCCGGACTCGCCTCTTCCGGGAGTCGTGCGTGTTCCACCAGGGATGTTACGTGAAGGATCTCAGCCGGCTGGGCCGTGATCTACGCAAAACCCTGATCCTAGATAATTCTCCAGCTTCCTACATCTTCCATCCAGAGAATGCGGTGAGCATTCCTCTCTAACCTTCCGTAAACGATGGCTAAGGAGTGGATTAATTTGTAGCTCTGATTTTGAAAGATCGCTTAGCTTTAAAAAAAAAACAAAAACCATTTTAATCTGGTTTTGGGGAAGAACTTTTTTAAAAAATCAGTAGCGTCTTCAAGAGTTGTTCCCTTGCTTCTCCCTTTAAGGTGGTCTTTATTGTGACAGTTGCATTCTTGTGCCAAACACAAATGACGGACGATCTGCTCTGGGAATGACATTCCCTCTTCAGTGACAAAATGGGGGACATGCTTCTATTCCAGTGGTTCTCAACCTGTGGGTCGGGACCCCATTTGGGGTCGAACGACCATTTCACGGGGGTCGCCAAACAACGCAGTCCGCCATTTTCCCCCCCTTTTCCTTAGCTGTTGAACAGAGTCTAATTCTATTGGCTTTCAAAAGCCAATAGGAATTGTCCAGGCTGTCTCTGCCCTGCTGAGCCCGCCAAAAGTCCCATTCTGCAAACAGTGCTGCACCAGTTGAGTAGTCCTCGACTTACGACTGGTTGAATAGTCCTCGACTTACGACCAGTTGCGGGTCGCGGCATTAAAAAGGTTGAGAACCACTGTTCTATTCAGATTCCTAGCCAGACACTTACAGGAATAGTGTGGAGGCAGTTGCTAATCTTCTTTGTTGTGTTGCCTCATCGTTGCAAGACTTTCTAGTCTTCGTGTAGAGATGACTGAGAAATTCTCTCTCAAGTCCCTCCTCTGATTCCTTTCCCAGTTTACTGAATGCTGTCCTACACACCAAGATTATAATCAGAAAGAATTCAGCTGATTCCCTCTTGTTGACTGGTGTTCCTACAGCCACTGTCTAGCTTAGTGTTTCTCAACCTTGACCATTTTAAGGCATGGGGACTTCAACTCCCAGAATTCCACAGCCAGCAACGCTGGCTGTGGAATTCTGGGAGTTGAAGTCCCCATGCCTTAAAATGGTCAAGGTTGAGAAACACTGGTCTAGCTTCTTGCATTTTAAAGTGGCATCATCCCAGTGACAGGCCACTTTGTTTCTCTCTTTAATATTTGAAATATCTTCCCTTGTCTTAAAACCAACTTCAAGCAGTTCTCAGATTTCACTCTCCGGTGTAGGAAAACTACCATCACTTCTAACTAGGCAGAGATTTTTTTTTCCCCCTTCCTTTCTAAAAACGCAAGGGCCAGGGCCTATCCAGCTGAATTGGATTGGAAGGAGAATTAAAGCAGAAATACCCTCCCCCCCCTTCCCTATTCACACAATCCATAATGAAGTAATGGAATTCATTAACACGGTATATGCTAACAGGCACTAACTTGGACAGCTTTTAAAAGGCTTGACTAAATTCCTGAAAGACCGATCTCTCAAGGGAGAGAGGTCTTAAAAATAACAACATGGCCTCCCAACTTGGGAGCAACATCTCCCCAAATGCCCATTACGGGGGTGGGGGGAAAGAGCAGGGAGGTTTATATCTTCATCTCTAGCTTACTAGGACTCCCAGAGCATCTGTTCATCGCTATGAGAAACTCACTGGAGAAGAGCCCAATGCTGGGAAAGATTGAGGGCAATAAAAGAAGGGGACGACAGAGAATGAGGTGGCTGGAGGGAGTCACTGAAGCAGTAGGTGTGAGCTTAAATGGACTCCAGAAGATGTTAAGAGGACAGGAAGGGCTGGAGGAACGTTGTCCATGGGGTCGCGATGGGTCAGACATGACTTCGCAATTAACAACAATAACAATGAGAAACTAGCCTTGGCCTGACCCAGCAAGGGCCAAAAGGGAGTGTAGCCAAGAGTGAAATAATTGCTGTTACATTTTAATGCCACTCCCCAAATCCTAAGTTTTGCCTGGGCTGCTTTACTTTTCCAAAATATGGTGCCCTGTTCCCTGCCTGCACACTTTTGATGGATTTCTCTCTATCTTCCTGACCGTCCTGTAGGTGCCGGTCCAGTCTTGGTTTGATGACATGACAGACACTGAGCTGCTGAACCTGATTCCTGTGTTTGAGGAGTTGAGCGGAGCAGAAGATGTCTACACCAGCCTCGGCCAACTAAGGGCACCCTAACATTTTCCTCGTGCTGTGGCCACTGGGGAAACTACTTTTTTTTTTCACTCTGTGCCTTCAGTATTGGCCAGGAGGGAAAGGGAACAGTGCAATTGCTCCCCATCACCCTGCCACAAGGCAGATACAAGCACTTTGGAGGCAATAATCTGCCTGGCCGCCTTCTGTGCGATGCCAGAGCAGTTTCCAACCAGGGTATGGCTGGATGCTAGAGCTTCTAGCCTTTCCATCAAGAGCAGGGACATCCAAAATAACCCCACCCCATTCCCAATAGTGCTAGTATCTATGCACTGCACCCCAACCTTTAGGGGATTCCTCCCTCCCTCCCTCCCCTCCTCCCTCCCCAAGGCAATGCCAAATGTTTTGGATGGATTCTTTAAAAGGTACATCCTCCTCATTTGCTTTTACATATTCTTGGCAGTGCTTCTTACACAGCCCTCCCCCCCCCAATGAAAATATGTGGAGAGCGGTCATCTCTTGGCAGGGAGTCAGGATGGCCTCCTCTATACTCTCAGATATTTCTGGTTTTGCCTGATCTTCTGATCTACAGGATCTTTCTGGGTTGTTTTGAAGTGGTTGCTTTCTTCGCCTGTTTTTGTGAAGCTACCTTTGCTTCGCACCTCCAGCCCTCATTGCCCCTGCTGGCTTTGGGAAATCCCTTCTCACGTGTGGGGTGTTTATTTGTTTTAACATTCTGTCTTGCAGTTGTGGTTTTGCCTCGGAGGAAAGGTTGAGATCCACGGGCATAGAAAACCCTTTGCAACGATTCCCCCCCCCCCAACTCTAGTAGGACATAGCATTAAGTGAGGACACAGCTAGCCAGTCCCACCAGTGCCACACTCCTTATTTGCTCAAAGATTGAAGTGTCCCTGCACTCCAGCTTTGGTCTGTTTCTTTGGGGGGGGGGAGGGGGAGGAGGTGATTTCATTGCCTTAAACGGCACCCAGCTAGGAGGCCGCCAGGTCAGTAGGGTACCTATCCTCAACCCAGTTCTTCCGCTGTCTTTCCGTGTGAAGGATTGCCTGGAAGATGGAAGGATTCTGATGTTTGTCCCCTGGTGGTTTTATCTCGCTTGATGATGCTGAAGGCATAGCTTCCCACTCGGGATTTGCTCTAGGTTCCATCACTGTAACATGACAGTCCTTAGCTCCTTGGAAGGTGACAATGAGTTGGGGATGAATCTGTTTGAAGCTAGGAGACTTTCCATGTACGCACAAGCCTGCTTCATATCATTTGCCTTAACACTGCCTTGCTGTCTCTGTGCTGCAGCTGTTTGGCAGCAAGCATCTGTGCCTCCTTGGTGTGGCCTCTCCTATTTCCCGCTCTCTCCCCCCCCCCACCCCAAATACATTTTCAGCTGGTTTCACTCCAAACAACCAAAAGTAGTTGGAGATTTTTTTTGTTAATATTTATATTGCAGGGAGCAGAGATTGGTTTTGTTCTTCCTAGTGTTAAGGTCCTCCTGTCCTCTCGAACTGTGCCTGACATACTGTGGAACGTGTGTTTCTCAAGTGCCACCAAATGGGTCAACAATGCCAGCTTGCTTTTTCTCTCTCCTTTTTCTCCACCATCAGCAACACATTGCAAGGGAATCTGGGTTTAGGCAGTGTGGGGCTGGTAGCAAAGAGGGGTAGAGTCCATGGGGTTCTTTTTAAAAAAATAAAAATAATGCTGCCTTATTGGCTAAGGGGGTGGCGGGCAAGTTGCAGGTCATCTCATCCCCTTCGGGACCAAAGCTTTGAGTTCTGCTATTCGGTTGACCAGCCAGCTGTTAGCCTGACCAACATGCAACTTTATATTTTCATCCTGGCTTTAAGTGTGCTGATTGGTCTTCAGTAGAGCCCTGAGACTGTGTGTGGACACTTAATCAAACTTCAGTCAGTTCTTGAACGGGACGGGGCCCTGCTCCCCCATTTTTCCTTGGCTTCATTTTTCTGGTCCTGTTTGGTCTCCCTTGTTTAGGGTCTGGATTCCTGTGTTTGGGGGAGGGCAGGAGGGGGGGGTAGGTTTCCAATTTCAGACACCAACAAGGAAGTTCTTTCCCTCCCTTGCAGTTCAGCCAGCTGCTACTTACGCACACAAGCCGGGAGGAGCTGTTAAAAGTTAATGAATGTTGGAAAGAACAAACCTTTTTTGTTTTCCCTTCCTATTCTCACAGCTTTGTTTTTGCTTTGTGTCAGCGGAAGACCAATTGCCTCTCTCTTCCTTCCTCCCTTCCTCCTTCTCATGCCAGCAGCTGCCCCAGCCCTTTCTTCATGATGAAACAGGTTTCTAGTCCTTTGTTGGACCGAGGTTAGATGCTGCCCCCTGAAGGGAAAAGAAAAAAGAAAAAAACCAATTCCCAGTAACTTTAGCCAGTGTGGTCATTGGTGAAGGATGCTGGGGATTGTAGTCCAACATGCTCTTATGTTTGCTGCAGAAATAACTTTTTTTAAGCCTTAAAGAGGGTGGGATTAAGATGAGAAGAAGGCAGCCCATTTATTCTCCTCTCTGAATTACAGGGAGCAACATCGCAGTCCTGGCGTATGAGGGATCTGTATGAAACGAGTCTGATCTGAAATAGGCAGATTTGGGGGATATGTGGTTTAACCAAGGTCGGCAAAGAAGTGGGTTGCTGAGAGTCATGCGGACGAGATGATGAATCCCTTTGGACAATCCTGCGTGGAGGGAAAAACAGTGGCTGTAGGACTTCAGTATGTAGCAGTGCCTGCCATGTTGCCCATAAATATGCTCCTTTCCTCTCTTGAGTCAAGATTGTAAATCATGTTTTAGAGCCATAAGGATTCCTGGGTCCAAACTACCATGTTGGGATTGTGCCTTGATTGAACCATGGTTAATGAGGGTAGAAGTCCAGCCAAGAGGCGCCCCAGCACTTTACCAGGGCCAGGCCTTTAATGGCTGCCCCATGTACTGACTACACTAAAGATACATACACATATAAATCTATCCACGCTTCTTATGGTACCTTTTTACATCCAGTCATGTTTGGTGCTCCCATTTCATACAAGAAGTGGAAGCTGTTGGCCTTTGAAGAAAAAAAAGCCTCCAGGTTTCCCTTCTCCTTTCCCTTCTCCTCATTAAACTGTACAAATTTATCACATGTCCTCACTTGCTGGGTTTTTTTTTTGTTCTGTTTTGTTTTTTGTTTTTTTTAAATGTTTTAATTGAAAAAAAAAATCCCAAAACTTGAAGCTGGCACTTGTTGCCATTATGAACTCTTTCTATTTTTGGAATCTTTGTATTAACTGCAATTAAAGAAATAAAAAGAGATAAACGGTGTCTTTTCATTAAGCGTATGAGTGGGTGGCTCTCTGAGGGAAAAAACAGAATTAAGGTTTTGTAGCTGTGCAGGTAAGCCTATAATAACTAAATCTCCTTTACGGTATTCAGTGGAGAAAGGCACAAAAGCTGCACAAAAAGGCTGGTTCTCACAGAGTGACTGCAACATCAGGCAATGGATGCATGTATAAAGAACCTGATGCAAAAATTGCTTTTGATTTCCCCCCCTCAATTTGCATAATTCAGCTGCCAGTCACAACTGAAGGCCAAGTATAATTATGTTAAACTCAATTTCAACGTCATCTGATAATGGTTGATTTATAAATAAAACAGGTGTACTTCTGCATTGCAGCCCGATGATGCTGGATATAGGCCTGCTTTCCGTTTTCCAACCTAGCGTTCTTCAGATAGATCTGACAATCCCAGTTTGCCCAAACAATAGGCCAGCATCTGGATTGGCCAGGGAGGATAGGAACATTTGAGATATGCCTCCTGGCTTGTCAATTGTGTTTTGGGGTTTGGAAGCCTTGTTTCCATAACTGCTCATCCTTCAAAGTTTCAGTGAGCCTTCAGACAACCTCTATGAACCATGTAAGCATTGGTGGACTCTACCTAGTTTGGACTTGAGCCAAACAAATAAGCATCACCCTGCAGAGACCCGGAAATAAAAACAAGAAAATTTGTTCTCGGTTGTTTCTGTGTTTTACATTCTTAATTTCTGCCAAAAGAGATCCTGACAGTGTTGGGAATGAGGCCGTTTTCGATCACAGTGGTTCTAGAAGTGCCTGGTTCAGAAAGAGACCTTCCCTCTCATAATCTAAATTATTTAGTTGAATTTTCTTGGTAAACCCCCCCCCCCATTGCAGAGTTGAGTAGAACCAGACTTGGGGAGAAAGGATTGTGAGGTTTTTTTCCATCAAGAGGAAAAATCCTTAGTGCAATAGGGAGAAATTTGATAATGATCGAGGTACTCTTCTTGTACAATCTGTACAAAGTTCCCTTCAATTTTTCAGTTGTGAGACATTGCTGGATGGGGCAAACAATACATTAACCAGTTTGAAGAGCTGGGGGTGGGGGGAGCACATCTTGTAAAGGTCTGGAAGTGGTAGTAGCTAAGACGCCTGGAGATCTGCATTTGGCTCACAGGCTAAGGGTACCCAGGCCCTTTTGATAACTCTAAGCTAGGTACAGGGAGCGAGTAAAACACTGGTAGTTGGTTTATTCATCCATTCAATTTGGATGCTGCCTGATTGTAAGAGCAACATTAAAACCAACAAAATATGAAAAACTCACCCACATGGACAAAAATAATTGCAAAAATAAGTGTAATATGGCAGTCCGAGTAACAGATATAAAACATTACAAACCAGTATCCCATCCTCTCTATCCAAAATCCTGGGTAAATGATCAAGTTTTCCAGAAAGGCATCGGGAAGGGGGATCATATGGATCTTGGGTGGGACCCTATTCTAAAGGGCAAGTCAACTTTCCTGCTTCCTGAAATGCAACAGACTTGGAACGAGCCACCTTACTAGATCATATTATACAGGGAGAAACCAAGGAAGACCAATGGTTTTTCAAATAACCAGGGTCTGATATCTAGGCTAGGGCTTTGTAGGTAATAATCAGCACCTTGAGCTGCACCTGGAAACACAGGCAACTAGTCTAGTTCACAGAGCAGAAAGATGGCATGTGAGCAAGCTGAGGCAATATTATCACTGCTTGTAGCACTGTATTGTGGATCAGTTGAAGCTTTGGAATGGTCTTCAAAAGCAGCCCCATGTAAAGCATGTTGCAATAATTGAGCCATGAGGTGACACGGTGTGAGTTCCTGGAGAGCTGACTGATCCAGGAAAGGATGCAACTGATGCACAGATGGAGTTATGCAAACACCCTCTTGGCCACAGCAGCTACCTGCTCTTGAAGCAGAAGCTGTGAGTATGGGAAAGCCCTGAAGTTGCGTGCCATTCCTGACCAGAGAGGTGTGACCCCATCAAGGAGAAGATGGAAAATCCCTGTGCCCAGACAGTCCCTCACTCTGTAGTTAGTTTCTCCCCAGTCAACCTCCAATAGACATGGGGAACTCAACCATCTATGTTGTGCACATCAGCTTTGGCCTTGAGCGTCTCTGCAGTAGAATGTGCTGCTCCAGTGTGGGGCACATCTGCACATACGAAATAACTTGATACCACTATCAATGAAGCAGTATCCTTAGTGACAGGTTGTCTTAAACCTATACCAAACTCAGAAAATATATCCTCTCGCTGGCATTGCTCAACCTAAGATCAGGAGAGAAGTAGCAGATGCTAAGAAAATTAAGCAAGAAAATGATCCTCAACATCCTCTGTACAGACATATGCCCCAAACCCGCTGACTCAGATCTAGGAACAGCTTTGTGCAAGAATAAACATTCTTGAGGGTACACAAGAACAAAATTGAATTAAAAGTTGGAGGAAGGAGACCATCGAACAAGGAATAACACTAATGGAGGATATGGCTGAAGGATTTAACTTCCCTCATATTACTTGGAGGACCTTAAATGGGTTGCGAGTTGGAGTGCCTAAATGTAAAACCAATATGCTCAAGTGGAGGCTCTCAGGGGATAACAACACGTTGTGTGAATGTGGAGAAACACAGAACCTGGCCCATCTGTTGGTATGTTGGTTACTACCAGAAACATGTACTGATAGTGACTTATTTTTGGCCAAAAGTAAGTCAAGAAAGTGGCTTCATTCTGGCAGTTTAAAGTTTGATCTAGACACAGAAGAAGAGGAAGAGGGAGAGGAAGGAGGAGGAGGAGGAGAAGGAGCAGCAGAAGCAGCAGGAAGAAGAAGAAGAAGAAGAAGAAGAAGAAGAAGAAGAAGAAGAAGAAGAAGAAGAAGAAGAAGAAGAAGAAGAAGAAGAAGAAGAAGAAGAAGAAGAAGAAGAAGAAGAAGAAGAAGAAGAAGAAGAAGAAGAAGAAGAAAGAAGAAGAAGAAGAAGAAGAAGAAGAAGAAGAAGAAGAAGAAGAAGAAGAAGAAGAAGAAGAAGAAGAAGAAGAAGAAGAAGAAGAAGAAGAAGAAGAAGAAGAAGAAGAAGAAGAAGAAGAAGAAGAAGTATTTTAACAGCCTCACTTGGCTAGCCTGGGATCAAAAGATACAGTTGAGTCCTAGGGCAGTGGTGGTGAACCTATGGCACGGGTGCCAGAGGAGGCACTCAGAGCCCTCTCTGTGGGCATGCGCACCATTGCCCCCGTCCTAGGCCTTCAGCTGGGTTTTATAAAACCTTTTCACTTTAGGCCGCCATGTACAAAAAAAAAAAGGTTCAATCAATCAGTCAATTTCAACTTCTCATGGGAAAAAAAAAGATCTTGCAAAGTTGGAATTGATTGATTGAACTTTTTAGTCCCACCCAGTCTGTCGTTACCATTGCAGCCACGCCCACCCAATGGGCCACACCCACCCAGCACCTGACGATGCATAAGTGGGTTTTGGGTTGCAGTTTGGGCACTTGGTCTCTAAAAGTTTCGCCATCACTGTCCTAGGGAGTGGCCTCTGCCCCCTCCAACCCTCACCACCGGGAACCATTTGCAAAGAAAGGAAGACAACCACTACAGTGCGATGCTCCCAAATCCCAACTATTCTCAATCCAGCGTGGATTGAGGGAGGCTTCAAAAGTATAGTCCCATTTCTGGCTATTGGCTCTTCTTCCCCGCAAGATGAGCTGCTCTATTGTCTTTTGCATTTCATTTCCCAGCAAACCACTTTAATGTGGTTTAATGCCATATCCCTTCCTGCTCCCATTTTGTTGCATTATTGATGCAACCCTGCACTTCAGAAAAATCAATGGAAAACTGGGATGGCAGCAACGGAGAGAGGGCTGGCCTAGGAACCCCTGTAGCTCCTCCTAGTTCAAGGTTTTCGACAACGACAATAAAAAAAAAATTAGGTGTTTTTCCCTTCATGAATCCAAGTCATTGGACAAGGCCGGCTCTGTTTGGACCAGGCAGCTCATAGGCAGGCGGGATGCAAATGTAATCAAATCTGTATGAGCTGGCCTGGATCCTCCGGTCAGAGGCTGCTCTGAGTGGGAAGGGACCATTTTCTCTGCCTCAGCCCTAGAGAGAAGTGCAAATATCTCCAGCAAATTCTTGGTAAGTGCGGCTTGATTTATGGGGTGGTTAAAGCTGTGCCTAGGAGGAAGATGGGCAAGAGTGGGATCAGATGGAGACCCTCCATAAGGGATGGATATCAAGCTAAGCTGGTGGAAATGGTTTTTTCCTAGAACAGCCCCAGGAGAAAAATCAGATTGAAGAAAGAAGTGGCCAGGTTTCTGAAAACGCGAGCACTTAACTGGCAGTGCAGTCTTATGCATATTTGAGCCCCATCAAAGGCTGCAGCCTTAAGAGGGCCTGAAGGGATTCAAGGCAATCCACTGAACTGTGAGAACAGAATTAGAATATATTTCTTTAAGCAAATTAAGTCTCCAAAATAGGTGTGGGCTGGTTGTGGCCACTGCCTTAAATAGGATCCACTTTGTATATCCTCAAAGGCCCTCTGTTTGCTGGGATGTCACTTGCTACAAGGTTGAAACTGGGATATGAAGCCAGGGTCAGAGACAGAATTTGGGCTCAGCTACCTTCAGTTCCATGTGGTTGTGTAAACACATGCCTGACATGAATTAAGCTTTGGCATCCAGTAAGTGACATTTTTGTCTACAGCATCTAAGGTCGATTAGTGATTCTTTGAATAGTCCTTGGACAGCTCTGCATTTATTTATCTGTTTAGCCAAACTATACGGCTGCCCATCTCATAAATGTGACTCTTAGCAGCTGATAATATCTTAAAACTAAAAAAAGAAGCATATTAGCGAAGGATAAAAATCTACCACGGATACCAAGGAAAACACCAATCAATGCAAACATTCTAATAGGCCATTTAACCTCCCCAGCCCAGGGCCTGGAGCACACCCAGGTCTTCAGTGGTTTCAAAAAGACCAGCAGGATCAGTCCCAGTCTGATCTTGGGGAGGGATTGGTGTTTCAGAGGGCAGGCGCCGGAATAAAGTCTAAATGTACTAAGAGGGACTGGGTATACTCAATCCAATTGAATGCATTCTTACTGCAAGTTTTACATTTGGAAGATTGCGAAATATTGGAACCAGAAAGTGAGGTGATAGAAAACAAGGGAAAGGAGTATGGAGCAGAGAAAATTTACTTGAAGAGCAAACTTCAATATAAGGTAGAGAGATTACAATCAAGCCTGCCAAACCTTCCGCTCAGGGCAAAACAATGAGATCAGACTTTTGCTTTGAACAAATGGAAGATATGAAGAAGCCAGATTAATCAGAGTCCTAATGGACAAGATATGAGCCAGCAGTGTGCGGCAGCTGCCAAAAAGGCCAACCCAGTGCTAGGCTGCATTAACAGAATCAAGATCACATGAAGTATTAATACCACTTTACAATGCCTTGGTAAGGCCACACTTGGAATACTGCATCCAGTTTTGGTCACCACGTTGTAAAAAAGATGTTGAGACTCTAGAAAGAGTACAGAGAAGAGCAACAAAGATGATTAGGGGACTGGTGGCTAAAGCATATAAGGAACAGCTGCTGGAATTGGGTGTATCTAGTTTAATGAAGAGAAGGATGAGGGGGGACATGATAGCAGTGTTCCAATATCTCAGGGGCTGCCACAAAGAAGAGGGAGTCAAGCTATTTTCCAAAGTGCCTGAAGGCAGGACAAGAAGCAACGGATGGAAACTAATCCAGGAGAGAAGCAACCTAGAACTAAGGAGAAACTTCCTGACAGTTAGAACAATTAACCAGTGGAACAACCTGCCTCCAGAAGCTGTGAATGCTCCAATACTGGAAGTTTCTAAGAAGAGACTGGACCGCCATTTGTCCGAAATGGTATAGGGTTTCCTGCCTGAGCAGGGGGTTGGACTAGATGACCTCCAAGGTCCCTTCCAACTTTATTATTATTATTATTATTATTATTATTATTATTATTATTATTATTATTATTATTGTTGTTATTATTGTTATCATCATCAACAACAACAACTTGATTACAATGAATGCCAAGCCCATTCTCAGATATTTGTTTTGATAGCAGAGAGCTTTTGATTGACCACAATGATTCTGCTTTTTTTGTTACTTTAGAGCTGACAAAGTTCCTTCCAGGATATTAAAAGCTGTAGTAGAGTCTAAAATATGCACCAGTGGCTTCAGACTTTATACCAATTTGATTATCATATCTTCTTCTCCCAAGGCTGCTCATTTTCCCGTGGGCATCCTTAACTTTTGCTGTACTGGCATTTGAATAGCAATTCCCCAGAGGACCATGTCAGAGCTAACTCAGACAATACTGTCTCCTGTGCACAATTTTCCACCACTCTCTTCTTTTTTTCAAATTTAATCAGCCCGTGTTAATTGAAGGTTATGGAAGAAGAAGGAGCTGTCTTGTATTGTATATCAAAAATACAGATCTCTCCAGTCCAACAATAGTGGATACAGTTTGACATTGGTTCCCCAGAATTTTCCAAGTGTTCTAAACCGCACTTGGAATGCATGGATTCTCCTAGAATAGTCTATACGAAGGGCAGGTATTCCACCATTGAGCAAATGCCCATTCCCTCTCTAGCATTCGCTAAATCTTTCCAGGGTTGTCTCAAAGGACTTACTGCTCTTTTTCAGGGCACCCCTTCTTTGCAACTTCAATATTTCTACATATGTTTGTCCACCCAGCAGGCTGGCTGTCCTATCTGTATCATGCTGAGTTGGTCCCCAAGGTGATGACTTGTGAGCTGGAAGCGCACGAGTGACATCACCAGTCCTTCAGAAAGTATCAAGCTGAGGATTCCTTCAGAGCAGTAAACTGCTTCAGAGAGCCATCTACGCCAGGCCTTATGAAATGGCCATTTTAAATGGGATTGGCTGAATGTAGGGCAGTGGTGGCAAACTTATGGCACATGTGCCAGAGGCGGCACTCAGAGCCCTTTCTGTGGGCACGTGCATCCTCGCCCTAGCCCCACCTCCCCCCCATGTCCCCCTTCCCAGCAGCCCCACCCAGAATAGAGTCGCCCCAGAAGCAGCCCGTGCAGAGCAGCGCAGCCAAGGACATGGCAGCCAGACAGCAGGGACAAGACTCTGCCCTCGTGTCCTGTCATACGCAGATGATGCTGAGGGGTGGGGGTGGAGGGTGTGGCCACCATGGCACTGCAGGACCAGCTGGGTGATCTGCTGCAGCGGGCTGTGGAGGCAGTCAGTGGCCCTGCGGGTGGGCGGGGACGAGTGGGCGGGTGGCAGGGCAGTTTTTGGGCACTCAGTCTCTAAAAGATTCACCATCATTGGTGTAGGGGATGTTTTATTGAACTTGTTTTTTTGTTGTTGTTGTTTATTTTGAAATCTTACTTGTGGGTAGTAGGAGTATGTTGGAAAAACATGATTAGAATTGGTTGCACAGCACAGAACAGAGGCCCTTGGTGCTCTCCGAGCTTGTTTTCTTGCAAATGTTTCATTAACCAAACTAGGTAACATCATCAGTGCTCCAAAGATGTGACTTAGTTTGGTGATGAAATGTCTGCAAGAAAACCACCCAGCTCTGAGAGCATCAAGGACCCCAGAGTTCAACTCTGAGATACAAATAATATTTTCCAGAGATCCATGTGTTACATTTTCTGAAAATATACATTGTATAAAAATAGAGAAATGTCACACACACACACACACACACACACACACACACACACACACACACACGATAGAAGGTAGTGCAGGTAATCTAGAGAGATGATATTACGTAGCTAAGCCAGTGAAATATCCGCAAGAAAACTGAACTGAACGCCATTTCAACCCGGAGCTTCAAATATTCTCCTTTATTAGTAACCATAAACAGGACAGGCAACTTCATGCTGAACCACAGTTCCCAGCATTCCTCACCACTGGTTACGCTAGTTGAGGATGTTGTAAGCTGTAGTTCAGCAACACTGAGAAAGCCATAGAGTGGAGCATACAATCAAAGCAGTAAATCATCGTAACAAAGTAGATGAGTAGATAAATGCAAAATGAAACCAATAAATATGACAAGCCACATATGGTGTGCTACCGCAAGTGAAAAAAAGGAATATCTGGCACCCTGGAAGAAAAAAAATCAGCATTGGTTTTGACGGGTTTTGAAATTGTTAATAAGGTAAAATATTTGGGGGTGATGCTATCTGTCTCTAATGCAAAACTATTTAAAAACAATTATGATAGGTTGTGGGTCAGTGTACAGAAAGACTTGAAGAATTGGGAGAAGTTGCAATTATCTCTCATGGGAAGAATTGCAGTGATAAAAATGAATATTCTACCTAAGTTTCTTTTCCTGTTCCAAATGTTACCGATTTTGAAGAATGAGATTAATTTAAGTGAATGGCAGAAGGGTGTTAATAAATTTATTTGGGCAGGGAAAAAGCCAAGGGTCAAGTTTAAAATTATGCAAGATTTCCGTGAGAGAGGTGGACTCAAGGTACCGAATTTGAAATTATACTATGATGCTGCGGTTTTAACAATAATTAGTGACTGGGTAAACTTGACAAATCTCGAGATACTTCATCTAGAGGGATGGGATTTACTCTATGGGTGGCATGCCTATTTAATATTTAACAAAAAAGTGGACTGGGTTTTTAAATCTCATATTATAAGAATTTCCTTACTTAGAGTTTGGAGAAAGTATTACAAAAATGATTTTAAAGTACCATTATGGGCTATACCTTGGCATGCGATAGAGGGAATAAAAAGAGGTGTCAAAATGGATATGGGGTCTTATAGACAATTACTCAGATGGGATGGACAAAATTGGCAATTAAAACTACGGGAGGATTTAGCACAAGAAAATTTCATTTATTCTTGGTTCCAATATAGGCAACTAGCAGATAGATGGAAGGTGGATTGTAAGGTGGGCTTTCTTAGAGAAGATGAAAATCTTATTAAGCAAGTGAAGGATCAAAGACAAGCCCATATTAAGAGAATTTATGGGGTGCTAGTCGAATTGGATTCGGAGACGGAACTAATTAAAGATTGTATGATTAAATGGGCCCAAAACTTTGGTGAACCAGTCCCATTGGACATATGGGAAACCATATGGGTAAGAAATGTCAAGTTTACGCAGGCA